TCTAGTGGTCGGCTGCTCTGGTAGGTTGTTTTCCGCGGTTTCTCCGATCAACATCAGGTGAATGTCGGAGCAGTACCCTAAAAAAGGTCCACGGACCGTGCGCGATTTTTCCTACCTCTTCCTATCCTTACCTCTTACCTACATACCAGGATACCGGTTGATAGCTTAAGAGCTTGTCACGGCTGGAGTGGTGACCACCAGTGGAAGATACTTGGTGTGGAAAAATCCGCTAGCCGATGGTAGTTCGGTGCCAGATCTCGCCGTGACCATTTACAGGTCTAATGATAGCCGTAGATGCGCGCGGAATCACCAACAAACAATATTTCCGTTTATGATTTACTTTCTTTAAAGAAGAAGTATTTCTGTTTCTAAAGAGAAAGAATTGTAATGCTGCGGGATGGTTCGTTCTTAGTGATTCCGAGCGCGTCAACTGAAGTCATTAGTTCCGTAAGTGTAGTGCATGATTTTTTCCTCGGAAGGTGATCTCCCGCCGGATGGCGAGACCCGGAGCCGACCTACCTTCGGCTAGCGGGGTTTCCTCCATCCAGAAAAATACTGCGGGAGAAATCAGCGATTTGTCGAAGAAAAATTCGCTTTGTGTTGCCATGATTATGAGAAAATGGGTAAATCTGGTTCATGTATGTGCAAAATTGTTCTCCAGAATATATTTCCTCTATACTTGCGTGTCTTTAGCTGCTCTTGTAATTCGTACTCCCAATAATTCTCTTGCGTCCCTAGCCACGGCATGATGCAACCTAGTCGTTGCATCATAGGCTGTAAGTGCATCACCTATTTCAAGTTGCAAATCTGTGGGTCTCACAAAATACTTGTTGCATTACAATATTTCCCCTCGAACCAGAACTGATTCACAACCTTAAGACAATCGCTCAGGTCACAACACCTAGTCCATTTACACGATTTTCGTGTTTCGCTCGGGCAAGTCTTCGTGTTCCTTACGTAGATGCCAGGGCCCATATACGAAGCCATCGGGTTCTTCCACTCAGAGGAGTCGGGCCCCGACATTGTATCCAAAGTAAACACCTCCGCAACGTTTTCGATGACATGACCTACGCTAACGCAGCTAGCGTCAACCTTGCGTGGTTGCCCTGGACGTCCCGTTCGGGTGATTCTTGGACGCCCGCGACGTTGAGCCAGCATGTTCGCCTTGGTCGTCACCTCGGACCTCATTCTCGACAGGCAATGATAGGAATCTCAAAACGGATTCTTCTCCGACGCTCGACTCGGGCGGGCGATCTGACGAGTTCCTCGTCGAACCAGTCTCGCTCAACATTACTCACAGTTGGCACTGGGTTGTTTTCGATGACTCTTACGTCGTTGGGCATCACTAATTTTCTTGACTGGCAGCCAAATTCTATACGCATTAGGTTTCTCGGCGTACCCCACGAAAATTCCTACCTTTGTCGTCATCCAGCTAATTTGCTGGTTTGTCTGCTAATTAACTGCTAATTTGTCATCTCGATCAGAATAAAAGCTCTGCATCCGAAATCTCGAAAATAGCTGACGTTTGGGACTTTCTCGTTCCAAAGCTCGTGTTTCTTTGCTGGACATGGATTTCTGATGTGCCTCGCCATGGAAACTGCGTCAGACTTGAACAGCAACGAGACATTTCAATTAAGGTTCTGTTCATCTTTTCCGCCACCCCTGCTACGGTGTGTATTGATCCGTGAGTCGATGTTTAATGCCCTCAGACTTTAGAAAATAGTCGAGTTCCTCATTCACATACTTGTGTCCGCTATCAGACTAATCTCTTTGATTCTGAAACCAAGCTTGTTCCTGACAAAAGCCTTGAAATTCTTGAATTCGTCGAAAGCTTGAGATTTGTTCAAGAATGAAACAACTTTGGTCCATCTTGAAAAATTATCGATAAATGTAATTTCGATCTCCTGTTGGAAACGACTCTCATTGGATTGCACAAGTCTGTAAGAGTCCTTCAATCAGTTTCTTTCGGAAATGATGGCCTCGCCATATTCCCCTTGAGGCAAATGTCATAGTCTGCATCTTCGCGTCCGGTTGGAAGTGCCACGCCTCGAATGGCTCCGGTATTCGATGCGTGGACGAGATCCGGAAAGTTAAGGTATCCCATCCTTCTGTGCCAGGTTTGGAGAGGGTTCTTCTGTTCAACGTCCTTCATTTCCGCAGAAAATTCACTTTGACAACTTACAGAAGATTCGCCTTTAACGTAATAAAGTTTGTCGACTCATTTCTTGATCACTACGATATCGTCCTGTTCGTCGAATATTTCAGCTTGAAATTTATCGAACTCTACCGGGTATCCCTTGTTTGTGATTTTCGCGACTGATAAGAGGTTATGTCTCAAGTAAGGGACGTGCAACGTATCAAGCACCTTCACGTCCATTAATTACCTTGCGTTCTTGATCATGGCCGTGCCTTTTCCTTGATTTCGGCAAAGTCGTCGTTTGTGAATTCACCTGGCCAACTGCACGGTTTTCGATCTTCTTGAATACACTTAAATCTCGACACAAGTTTTAAGTGCAACCGCTGTCGAGGCACCAGTCATTCACGGCTATGCCACTCACGTTTTGACACGTGTCGATATTTATTTCACGTGACAGGAGAGCAGTATTAGCTGAACCGTAGTTGCTCTTCCTTTAAAGCGGACATTCCGAAGACGTGCCCCCGTTTGTGACATTTGAAACATCTGTAATTGAATTCGATTGCTGCTCTTTCTGGCCGTACATGACACATTGATTCGAACTTGAAATATTTGAGTTCTTCCTCGGAGATCTTGGTCCTCAAATTGCCAGACGTTGGCAATGTATCCTCAGGCACCGTTCTTGACTAATAGTGCCTTCATTTGTATTTTCCAGGTGTAGTTATCGCGCCTTGATGCGTGTAGTACCGTTCACGTTCGTGGCCAATGACATACGTGCAATCAACACGGATACACGACTGCGAATTTACGAACTGTCAACCTTTCTTGTGCTTTGCGAACGTAGTTCATGCTATCGCGCATGCCCCGTTGAACAGCCAGTCACAGCCCACATGTGCCAAGATGGCGGCTTCTCGTTCATATCTCGCCTCGACGACTAAACGATAATACAGTGGCGGCTTTCCTTTTTTGCGGCACTCAAAACGGAAATACCGATTTATTGCGCGCGCGCTCGAAGCATCAAACACTTCACATTTACCTGGGTTACCGCCCACGCCAGTCCACACGTGTTCCGTCTCTTCCCAGGGTTTTCTCGCATACGATTCTTCCTCCCTGTTAGGCCTTATTCACAACGCAAACTTAAACATAACGTAGCCGCCAAACCTAAAAATGAGTTTTTAACCATGACTATTCACAATGTCTTGACGTGACCGTAGACGTAAATCCGTAAACTTCAGTTCACAAGCACCAAACTGAAGTTTACGTCGGAATTATACCGAAAACCAGTCATGAAAGAAACAAACACGGTGGATTTCAGATTGTTTTCAGGTAGTTTATGGTTATGTCATTTCATTACTGTTGTGTTCTGAACTGGTGGTTTGCGAAGGGTTGGAATGCGACTAGTCGGATGGTTTCAAAAGTGGCGAGTAGTCTGTTGGTCGCATCGGTAGTTAGAAATTGCGAAACGGGAAACGCTATCCTTCATAATTGTTAAAAACCTATAACTGTGGCCGAGCGGTGAAAAGCAAAATAAATAGTTTCATGTAGCAACACTGTTAATTGAAAAGTTCTTAAAGTTTTAGTAGAAATTGTTATATTTTTTGCTTTTAAACTTGAAGGAGATTAAAAACTTTGTACTGAGGACCCAGGAAATTTAACTTTAACCAAAAATGTTTTCATACAAATGCTATGTAAAAATGCTCATGTTTATTTTTCGTGTCTCGTTGGTGTTGGTTCATTCTAGCCCGAAATTATCCTCATATCGTTACTTTTAATAAAATCAACATATGAGTAAAATACTTACTTTCTCGTAGTAAAAGCAGTCTTCTAAAAAGAGGTAAACATGCCAAGTACAGCCGATCAGCCCTATTTGCCATGTTGAGAACCGTGGATGTTTTACGTACTAATTGTATATTGTGAAGAAATGTGAGGGAAATGGCTTCGTCTGTCGAAATTATTCTTCTCAGTAGTGAATCTGAACTATGCTATTGGATATCAGTGTCAGTCAACATGCAGTTCTGGAGCAATACATGTGTCAATCAACTTAAAGGTGGTTAGAACGACATAGAGATATATTTAGGAGTGGAAGCAGATATAATACTACGTATACTGTGGTTAAACCAGAGACTATTACCACAGTCTAATATTACATATACCACCCTTCGACGAAAATGGAACCTACGCAATTTTTATAAGCGTTCTTCGCAATATAGGAGAAAAAATCAGACCAAAAATTTAGGGCCATTTTTGCGAAAAGTTTGAAAATATCGTTGAGACTTCACGTAAAAAAATCTATTCACGTGTTCCAAATTAAAGGGGCTGTGACAGTCAAATAAAGTGGCAAATGTCATTTTCATTGAAAATCTGCCTATTGCTTCATTTGAACAGTCAAGTAGTTCAGGTACCGACGGAGGAATGGACAGACGTTTGGCCTTTAAACCGTTTCTATATCAAGGGCCAACAAGACGTGAGTTCCGTCTTCCGTGGGCATATGTTATTTACTACAAATTAGAACAAGAATTGTCCTCTTTTCGTTACCAGCCGCGGACCCACGAGACGAGTTTTTCCGACAAAAAATCGCCGATTTTTTCAGCAGCATTGCAATTTTTTCTCTATACCGAGTATGTGAGGAAGTGTTTTTTATTTTAGAAAAGTTCATCGTAATTTGAGTTATAGTTTGTTAATGTTTGATAGAAAGTATCTTTTAACATCCAATGTATGTAATCCAATGTTAAACAACTGGATAATTTGCATATTTATTTAAACATTTAAAAAAATAAACTCAGCATGACAGGATTATACTTCTGATATGTTTCAAATTATTTACAATTGTTTTACATTTCTATGTTATATTTTTCTCTTTTGACAGGGCCCCATCGAAATACTGAATTTGACCTCAAGATTCGACGACTTACTGATATGGGCATTGAAGACCATCAAGCAAGAGTAGCTTTATCATCATATAATTGGGATCTAGAAAGAGCAACTGAACAGTTGTTCAGTTAGTTATTTTAAAGACATTAATATTTCTGATCAGGGAATGGTACATTATCACATATTGTGCCCTGTTACTTTGCTTTAAAAGTTACATTTTTTTATACATAGTGTCATTTTGAATATGTGATTAGAAATGACACCCTAAACTGTGCTGTGGGCAAGAGGAAGAGGAATAAAGGATTCAGGATGGTTGCAACTTTTTAACTACCCTTTATTCCATTGTTACATTTCAGCCAGCTTTAGTTTGCATTTGTTCCTTCCTTATATTTTAGAAATCAATTAACGCAGTGTGCAGAAGCATAAATAATACACCTGAAACACCACTGTATTTATTCATTATGAACAAACATTTAAAGTGTTTGCTTCTTTTTTGTTACTTTCTCTAGCCATTGGAATGCTCTGGATGTTTGGTGTGTGTGTGTGTGTGGGGTGCTTAAAATTTTTATTGTCTCAATGCCATTGCAGGTTACACCTTGTAATTAAAGCCCAGAACAGTAATTCATTCATAATAATAATAATAATTGAAATTCATTAAACCAGGTAATATTATGAGCAGGATTTGTGAAATTGTTGCTCATATAAAGTAATTATTTTGTTGTGTTAATTTGATAGCTTTTGAGGGGAAAATAAATCAAAAATTCTCAAGATTTGTGACTATTGCACACCTGATTCCAGTGTGTGTCTCCTGAAATATGACAGAATATAGTTTCTCAACAAGAATGTTTCAACCAGCACATGAACCAAATCTCCAGTGTTAACATCCTTAAAAATTTTGTTATATTTGTATGTGTCACAGAGTTGTACATATATTGTAATTTTTTAGACAATTGTGTGTCGTCAAGTAATTGTATAAAATTAAGTCAAAAAGTAATATAATGATGTGAAAACGTTTATCCACTGTGCTGCACTTAGTTAAATGAGAAGTTTTATGCAAATGATGTAGGCAGTTCAGGCATCTTAAAATATTGAAACCTTCATAAGAAGGTGCACTCCTGTTGTGTAATTCTTTAACATTTCTTGTAGGTGATTGTATAGAACATAAGATCATCCTGGCTTATTTATTTGTATTTTCAAAGTTTCAATTGAAATATTTGATATGTTGTTAAGTTGCACATGGAATACTGGAAGAGGAGGTTGTGTACATTTGTGTATTATTGTTATGGTCTAGGATTTTTTTTTTTATATTTTTTTAAAAAAAAATTAATTTTAGTTTTGTCTTTACTTATAAGAATATTCATATCCCTTGAAGCTACTTGCATAGTTGATTAAAGTCTCTTAAAAAATAAAATGTTATGTTTATTTTGATTCTACAAATATTCCTTATCAGGAGGGGGG